GCGCTGGGTCCCTCCACCCGTGGGACCTCCCCGGGGATGCAGGTGCCGTTCCTTAGGGCGAAGGGGGGGGCAGCGCCTTCTGCAGCCCCAGGGGCACCTGCGCTCCCTCCCGCTCCGTCCGTGAGCTCTCGGGGCTTTGCCAAGGGCGGGATCGAGAGGGGAAAGATCCCAGAGCCCAGCCCGACACCTCCGCATAAACCCACCGACGGTGCCCGCCGCGCCACGCTCGCCTCGGCCAAGGCGTCCGCCTTGCCCTCAAATCAGCCCAGGCCAGCAGGCAGAGGGAAGCCCACGGCACATCTAGGGGGAAAACCAGGCCACAGCAATAACCGGAGCCCTCCGGCACGGCCGCTCTCCGCTCCAGAAATTGGGCATCGGCCGTGGCGCTCCCCCGGGTGCCCGGCAGCCCCAGGGAGGCTCTGGCCGACAGCGTGCTTGCGGACAACGCGGTTTCCGCATCAGCAAGCCGCAGCCCCTCTGTGCTGCGTTTCGCCCTTCTTCTCCTAGTAAAAAACCTCCCCAACCCGCCCCAAGGTTTCGCTCACATCCAAACCATCCTCGGTTGCAACCACCTGCAGAGGACCGGGCACAGACCGCTCCGAGCGACGCAAAGGCAGAGCGGCCGCAGGGGCGACGGGCGCGTTCCCCGCAGAGACCCCCTCCCCAAAATGCCCCTGCTCCCCAGAAACAAGGCTCTGCGCTCTCACCCTTGCTCGCAGAAACGGCAGCGGCAGGGCTGCATTTGATGGCACCAGCGGGCAAGCCCGTGCCATTGCCCCATCCCAGCCCACCAGGACTTAGCTCTCGTTCTCACACCGCTGCTGTAATGTACCAGCCGACGCGGCTCCTCTTCCTCCCTTCCCGATCCTACGTGGCGGCTCGCCGTGGCTCCCGTCGGCGCCGCGCTCCGGCCTTCCTGGGGTGCGACGTTACCATGCTGCGTCGTGCCTTACGCTCCAGCTCCCCCGTGACGCCACGGGGACCGGAGGACGCGGGACTTGCAAGGGGGCAAGCGTGGGCTTCGTGTGCTCAAGGCCACTTCGCCGGGGACAGGACAGGCCCCACACATTTGCCTTCCCATGTATACTGTAAGCACTGGGCTGTATTCACACAAACGCGTATATATACACGCACACACAACCTTTTCTATTGCCGTGAACCCCACCACGCGGTACGGGACACGTACTGCGGGAAATTCCGGTCCTACGCACCGTATAGTCGCACCGGCATGCCCGGCAGCTACGGGCTCCCAGCAGCGTCTCCCCAAAACGCAGCCGCGCCTCGCACCACTTCCAACGTCACGGAGTCCACGGCGTGACAACCCGTTCCTACCGCAGACCTTTGCCTACCAAAGGCCTGTGCGGTGCCTTCTCCTATGTGCTTCCCGTCTTGACAGCTTCTGCTGTGCGCTCTTTGGCCTTCAGCTTTCCCGAGCAGAAAAGCTTCTTGGCTCCAGGCTGCGGAACAGAGAGAGAGACAGACATCGAACACCACGTTCGCCTGCGAGAGCTCAGCATGGCCTTCACAGCGTGCAGCCCCTGGCCCAGCTTGGAGGTGCCTGCTGACCACCGTGACGCTGCCTTCGAACGCTCGGCCACGGGGACACGTGGTTCCTGGCACTCCCGGCGTCCGCGTGGACCTTGCTCGCCCGCTCCCGCGCTCTCACCTTGCGCAGTTTGGCCGCTCGCAGCAGCCTCTTCTCCTGGCTCAGCTGGAGCTGCGTCCTCTCCAGAGCCTCTTTCAGCAGAGCCTTCTCTTCTGCCTCCCTATAGGCTTCCTCTTCTAGTTTGGACCTCTCTGCCCGGCACCTTCGCAGGGATGCTTGGTTCAGCCTGGGCAAAACAGGAGGGGGGTCTGCTCAGCCGCACCGACCCCTCGACCCCCAGCTGGGCTCCGCCTGGGAGAGGCAGCTCTCGAGCAACACCCCATCGCGCTTGCGTCCCTCCTAGGAACCCCCGCACCACGGGGTGACGTTACCGGACATCCGAGCAGCTACCACCTTGCGAGGACCTGCCCGCGTTTTAGCAAGCGCTTTCCCCGCTCCGATTCCTTACGCCACGGAAAAAGCCCTCTCCTCCTGCCTTTGCAGAGACTAAGGTGCCGCCTCGTCGCGGCTTCCCCCACCCCACCTCACACGTCGCGGTGGCTGCGATCTCTTCCGTTCAGCGTGCGAGCCCGGAGAGGGACTCCGGGCGGCTGCGTCAGCGCTGCTGGCTTGGAGATTGCTATCACCCCTCCAGTCTGCTTTGCCTACGGCGCCACATTTACACCAGCCCAGATATAGCTTTCTACACCGCTTCTTCCGGCGCTGCGGGCAACACGACTTCTGCGTTCGTGCAGCAAGCAGCAGCGGGGCTCGCGCAAGCGCGCCCACGGGTTCCTCCCGCTCCCTAACGCTTCACCTCGTGCGGCAGCTCGTGGAGCGAGAGCATCACCTGCGGTCTGGACAGCCCTTCCCACCTGCTCCCACGCCTGCCTCGGTCCTGCCGACACCGTCCCTCCGCCCCAGCCGATGCCACGGCTCTCACAGGGTCCCGCCACCCCGGGCTCGGGAGCCTGCCAAGGTTTCCCCGACTCTCACGCCGCTTGCCCGCGTAGGGCCCTGCAAGGCGCCGTTGCAGAGAACCGAAAGGACGTTTCTCCGTTTCTCCCGACCCTTCCTTTTTTATCCTGTGGCCACCCTGGGACCAGTCCCAGGCAGACGCGCAACCCGCCGAGGGGCTGCCCCGCTCCTCTCCCAGAGTTCCCCGTCACTTTGCATCCCAGGACTCGGTGGCGCTCGGACCCGTAGCCGCTACCAGCCGCTTTGCCTTTCCGTACCTCAGCTGCTCCACGTTGGCCTCGTAATCTTTCAGCATTTCTTCTTTTCTTTCCAGGCGACTCTTGAGGTTCCTGATCTTATCGCACAGCAGCTCCAGGTCCTTCCGTCTCCGCAGTCCCGCTTTTACCCTCTCCTCCCGAGAAAGGTGCTTCAGCGGCTGCATTCCTGACAGCTCCTTCACCTTCATCAGGCTTCCCAGAGCACCAATGACGTCAAGGTACTGGAGAAAGCACAGGGAATGCGTTATTTACTAGGCCTGCCAAGTCCCCTGCCACCTAACAGCACACCGCTCTGCCATCTGCTTTCATTCTGCTCTCCTGAGGAGATGAAAACGGCACCAGCAAACTGCCGCGCGCCTTCCCCTTCGTCTCATTTCCACGCGTGCTCTCCCTGGGCGAGCTTGTCTGAGCGCTCCTAACACTACGGCCGGCTGGGGTTCCTTTGGGCCGCACGCTCGGAGGCACTCCGAAAGGTGTCACGCCGCACCGGCGCGCATGCCGGCTCCAGGCCGGCCCCTCTCACACCTGCCCTTTGATTCCCAGCCGCACGACTCTCTGACCTTGCTGGGTTTTGCTGTTTCCCAGAGGACCCGTTTTCCCCGCCAAACGTTTTTTTTCCGCCCCTTTCGGAAGACAGAGACCCACTTTCACAACCCACCCGCTGCGCTACCAGCGGACACCTCCCTCTGGCAGCCGCCTCCGTCGCTCCCCAGCCTCTCCCGCTCCATTAGGCGGGTGTCTAGGTTGGTGAAGGTCTCTGTCCTCCCCAACGCTACCTCTCCTTGAGGACCAGCCCGGACCCCTGCCCCAGGAAACAACCCCTAAAGGCCTTAGGTGGGAACGGGAGAAGGATGTGTCCCGGCAGACGCCCAGCATGCCCAAGGTCCCGCCAGGCGCAGTTCATCCTCAACCACATTCCTGAAGAGCCCCGATGCCAGGCGCTTCCTTCTGCGACGCATTTGAAAACAACCTACCCTCTACAAGCGTCGGGTACCATTTTAACAGGTCTCCTGCTGACGTACCATCTTCTCGCCAAGGTCCGTCGCCTCAGCCAGCTCCGAGCTCGCTGCCCCATCGGTGGCCCCGGGCGAGTTCCCGTTCCGAACGTGGCCAGGAACCTGCACAGACAGGGAAAGATCGACGGAGCCCGCAGATCGCCTGGCTTTGGCTCCAGCTGCCTCGAGCCTCCCTTCCGCTGCACGGGGAAACCGCCCTGGCAACGCCACGGTCCAAAGCCTCCCAGCCCGGTCAGCCTGCGGCATCCCTGCGCGGCGCTGCGCCCAGGGCGCTGGGCAACGTGCAGCTCCTGACGGGAGCTGCGATACCCTCCGCAAGCACCGCCTGCCGTTAGGCTGCATCTTGCACGCTGCCAGATTTTACACCTCCCTCCCTCCCTCGCGCTCCTGCCGCCATTTCAGTTGTTCTGTCTGAAAGCTTCATTCTTCCTCTTCCAGAGGATACTTTTCCAGCAAAGCCTCCCGCACCATGCACCACAAACTGCCTTCTTACCTTGCCGGTCTTCGGTTTGGCTCCCAACACGGGTGCGGGCTCCTTCTCGAGACCTGTTTTCTGGACTATTCGCTCCGGTAGGTCTTTCATCAGGAGCACCAGCGGCTCCGAACCCTCGCTCGCGACAGCTGGAGGCACAGAAACAGCCAGCGAGTCCTTCCGCTCTCCGTGCGATATGCTGCGGCTTCCTACCACAAGCGCTTCGAGGCTCGCCAGGTTTCCCCTTACGGAGACCGTGCAGAGAGAGATGCGCAGGCTACGGAGAAAAGCCTGCGCCAGCCCTCCCCTGCAGACATCGCTACCCGAGTGTTCGGGCATTGCTTTCCCTACGTAAACTGGATGCAAACCTGCTTTCCAGACGGCCGTTCAGAGATTGCACCCCTCGCTGCTACCCTACTTGTCGCTTCTCACAGGGATGGCACTGCTTTGCCAGCCTGCTCTCGCTCCAGGGATATACATGATGGAAAGGGACCGACAGAGGACGAGTTAGGGCAGGCAGAGGATTCTCGCAGCGTACGGTGCTTGCGAGGCTTTGCGAGACCGCGACACCCAAGGCTCGGCTCCCTTAGGTGGCAGCTGCTCTCTCTTGCCTCGAGGAGAGCTGCACCCGAGCGCGGGAGCGATCGTGCACTGAGCCGGGCGCCTGCTCGCTTCTGGCTCTGACTGCACGGCAGCTACCGCTGCAAAACCCTTCGCCAGCTGCCTCTCTCTGCTGGCTCCTGCCAACACCACCTCCTCACACGTACGCGCTCACCCCCGCTTGATGCCTGCGACTGACACCAAGCGCCCTTCTAAAGCCTCTAGCTGCACTGCGGGTTCTTCAGAGATGTTTCCCTAGCCCCTGCACGGATAAACACCCGTGCACGCGAGAGCTGACTCGGCAAGGGAAAAGCTTGAGCCCATCGCCAGCGAGGAGCCCGAGCCCTCCGCATTGCACCTTCCCTCGCGTTACGTGCTCCATCGGCGCAGACCCCGGGGCCTGCCAACGGCATCTGCCCTTTCCAGCGACAGCCACGCTTACCTGACGGCTGCCTCTTCTCCAGCATCTTTATCCTCTCCCGGAGCTCAGCCAGGCCTTCTTTTTGGCGCTGAATCGTTTCCTCGTGCCTGAGGCCTCGGCATTTCGCGCCGAGCTCGGCCAAGTCCAACGCCGGCTCCTGGAAGAAGCGACCCAGCCGGTTCTTGCCTAGCCTGCGCCGGGCTCAACGCAAGCTCTGCTTAAACCTGGCTTTCGCACAGCCTTGCCAAAAGACGCTGGTCACTCGGTGACCAAAGCCCGGTGGAGCGTCTCACCCTACACCCTCTCGGTGGATTTGAGGGGTGGCAGAGCGGCGTCCCAGACCCCTTTCACGCTCCGCTGCGCCACCCGCGCTCCGGTGAGGACATAAGCTCTGCAAATGCTCCCGAGAGCTGGGAGAAGGATGGTGTGCAGCTCTCACCGGCCACGTCAGCCTTTTGCTCTTGCACTTTGTGCTACTGCAGAACATTTACCATTTCCTATGCACAAATACTACTGCGCTTCGCGGCCTGCGTTTCCACGTGCTCTCGTACGGGACTCTCTTGTAAACTACACCCGTGCACACAGACGCACGCGTTTCCCTATTCCAGCCCCGTCCCGCGGGCTGCATTACGACGAACAGCCAAGATTCTGGGATGGGGCAGGCCCATCATCACCCCCTGCACACAGCTAACGTCGGCTGCAAACCGCCCGCTGGGGTCTGGCCGCCGCTGCCCCGCCGCACTGCTCGGCGAGCGGCGGTTTGCTCCCGTACCGTGGCTTTGCCTGGGCTGCATCTCCAGCGCTCTGCGCTTCGCCTCCCCATCGCTACGTGCGGAACGGGACGCGGGCGGTCCCTCGCGCTCGTCATTTGGCTGCGAGGCACCGCTTGGCCACCCCCCTCCAGCCTTCCTCGCTGGCACGCCGTCTGCCGCCGTTGCGGTACAGGATGTACGATCGCTACAGTCCCTCCATCTGCTGCTGCAGCCACCTTCCAGTTCTTCCCATTTCTAGCACCCGGGAAATCTCCGAGGATTTCAGCACGGGACGACAAGGAGCCTTTATTCCCATCCCGTGCAACAAGCTACCCCTGCTCCTGGCACATCAAACCCTATAACCGCTTCTGTGTCGCCCATATAGCCAGCATCTACGGCTGAGCGAGGCTGGGAAAAGGAGCGAACGCTTGCACATCTTTCGGTACGCTGCTATCCCCTCTAATTGGCAATTATCGCCGCCGTTAGCACACACAACGCTTTGCGGTTCCAACGTGCTGTACAAACATCAGCTCATTAGCCAGCAGCGCTGCCTGCGCAGGAGCGCTGCCAGCACGGCTACCCCGGCAGCGCGGGCAGCCCCTGGCGAGGGAAAGGGCGGCCGCCGATCCGGCACTCCTGCCTTCAGCCGCCTTTGAGCGGACGCGAGGCTTGGCTGCCCGTTGCCGGGTCTCACCACGATGCCGAGAAACACCGTGCCTGCGATCGCTACTCTCAGCAAACCCAGACCGCGGCAGCCTCCCTGCGGACTTACCCTCTCGGAGGCTTCACCCGCCTGCGCTGCTGTCCCAGGAGCATCCTCCGGCTTTTCCGCCATTTCTCGGGAGGCATCCTTGAGCGCCCGGCAGCGGGCTTGGGCTTGCCTGTGCCAAGAGACAAGACTGCTGTGGGACACCGCGAGGGACAAAGGTCGCCCAAACAGCTTGCGGAGAGCGGCACCCTGGGCACCCGCCGATGGCTACCACGGCGTGGGTGGGCACATTCCCTCGGTTTCAAGTGACTTCGTTACTCGTTCCCTGGCATGAGCTCCACCAAACCCCCGTGACAAGTTCACCTGGTGCTTCCACAGAGACACCATTGCTGAGCTCCATTCTGACACTCCCCAAACTTGCCTTCTGCTCCTGGGGAGATACCTAAATGCCATCAGCTGCCGGGAATCTACAGAGCAGCTTTGGCAAAGCCTCAGGCCACAGCAGCGCGTACCTTAACTCTTCAGCGGTTGCTTTCAGGGCTCGATCCTTCTTCTCCACGAGGCTCGACATCTGGGATAGCTTCTCTCTGAGCAGGTTCAGCTCCCGCTCTTGCTGTTTCACCCGGCTCAGGTTCCGCTCCAGTTCCGCCTTCTGCTCCTCGCTCAGCTCCCCTGGGCACACAACCGCGTCGTGGGTTTCTGGCTGTCTCATCACCCCGCCCTGGGGGATCCGCCGTTCTCAGCGACACAACATTCACGGGTGCGTCCCCTTTTCCCAGCACACCCGCGTGGGGTCGGCAATAACGCAGCTTGTCCCCGCAGACCCTTGCCCTGCCCGTGACAGCAGCCCTCGGATGCTGGGCTGCGCCACCAGACCTTGCTTTACTCTACCACAGTGCAAGACCAGTCTCTTTGTGCAAGCGTACGCCAGAGTAACCGCTCCCTACGGCAATTTTCCTGCGCTTTGGAGAAGAACAGGCTCGCCAGCGTGTCCCGACTTGCAGGCTTCTGCCTTCTTACCTTCCTCGTGCGCACTGTCCCTTCTTTTACATTGCACCCTTACAGGCAGCGAGAGCAAGCCGCGCGCATCCCTTCGTTTCCAGGCTCAGGCTCGTTCCTGCCCGCTCCGCTGGGTGCTCCCATAAAGCCTCCCCAAAGCACAGCCCTGCCCCCTGAGGAATCCTGGCAAGGCTCTCCCAGGCCACCGGCGTAGGAGACCTTGGGCTCAAAAGGAGCCCTCCAGTGGGATTTTGAGAAAGATGGCCTCAGCTTTGTCCACCCGATCTCCGTCTGGTTACCCTCACTCACCATCGCTGCTATCGCTGAGCCAAGGACAGGGAGGAACCCACCTGGGATTCCCGTTCCCGCCCAAAGGGAATGGATGGCCTGCTTTGCCCCGAGCGGGGCCACAGCATCGCGTTCAGATGCTGACATCTATTTCCCATCATCCGCGTGTACCCACGAGTACCTACCCTTGTGACTGCTCGGAAGAGGGATGGCAAGATGGAAACCAGGCAGCACGCTTCACCCACCTCTCATGTCCGACATCCTGGCTCTGGTTTCCGCAAGCTCTTTGGTCAGTCCGGCGATGACGGCCTCCTTGCACAGGAGCACGCTCTGCGCCGCTGCCAGCTCCTCCCTGAATTTCCTGAGAAAGATAATTGCCGATCTCACAGTACATTTAAAAGACTCGTTTCACGGAGTCTGCGCATGCCTTCCTGAGCGGCATCTCACGATTAATATGTCCACATTACTTTCTGACGATTAATACGGACACGTTACTTTCTTACCGGCCTCTCCGTCCCTGGGTTCCCGCCTGCGGCACCGGGACCTGCCAGCTCTCTTACCTGCAGCCGTCCAGATGGGACAGCAGATCACTCACCCGCTCCTCGGCAGCGCTTTGACGCTATATGCACTTAAGACCACCTCAGCCTAGCAAAGGGACTGGCTTAGGATACCTGACGCTCCAAGGAGCCCACCAGTGGGATTTTGAGAAAGATGGCCTCAGCCTAGGCCACCCGACCTCCATCACAGACCAAAACAATCTCAGGACAAGTTGCAGTCAGCCCCTCGGTCGTCCTTAAGCTCTCCTAGTGATCGCTGCTCCTCTCCAAGCCCCTCTGACCAAGATCGCCAGCAGCAAGTGCTGCTTACCTCAGACAACCGTGCGACTCCGCGGCCGGAGACACCTCCGGCCAAGCTCCCGACGTCGCCTCGCAGCCACCACCCCGAAACCCTACGGGACACAGTAACAGAGGCCATTTACTTCTTTGTAACGCATACATGTTTGGCCTGCTTCCTTCCACTACCTAGCTCCTTTCCTTCACCACAGCTCTGAAGGCTGAGGGCCATCTTTTTTGGAAACCCGTGTCTCTTAGGCCCCGGTTCCAACAGGGTTTAGACAGTTCCTTCCTTGCTCGGGATCACTTATGCCTGGGTGCAGCCCACGGCGCCCCGGTCTCCTCGCTTTCGAGGGCAAAGAGCCCTTCTCCAGTGGGAAAGCCCCGTCCGTGACCAGGACATGCTACCAACACTCCCCAAAGCCACTGACCAACATACTGCGACTCCCTGTGAATTGGCTTCTTCAGGGACTCACGGAGCTCGTCCCGCGTGCGGGCAAACCTCAAACCGACACCTTACACAACGCTTTCCGTAGCACCTATTGCACGACTCCATCTCTACATAGACTTCACGTTAACCGAGGAGGTTCCCAGCACAGACTCATCCCGTGCAACCCTTAGCTACCTTCCGTTTTTTCCACGAGCACTGCGTTTTCCTCCTCCAGCGTCTTCTGCTGCTGCTTGGCCTCCAGCAAGCTGTCCTCTAAAGCCACGATTGTCAGGGAATGCTGCTTGCTTTGCTCTTTGTATTCCACTATTTCTTCCTGCAGTTTCTGCCTCTGTAACTCATTCTCCTCCCGAAGGGCCTTGAGCTGCTCGTCTCGCGCCAGTACCTGCTGCCGTAACGCCATCTAGGAAACAAGACGCGTGAGCTCGGTTGGAAGCGCCGCGCGTGTTTTCCTTCGGGATCCCGATCAGCATCGTCTCTCCTGGCTAGCAGTCAGCAGGACAGAGGGAAAGGAAGGATTTCAGGGAGGGGGGAGGCTGCAGCACCCTGCCCCCTCAACAGCAGGGACCGGGGAAGCCTTCTTCACCAAAACCACTTCCGCGCCACATCCTCTGCTTGCACCCGAGGGCTGCGGGAACTACCTCTCGCCTCGCGGCTTCCTCCAGCTCCCGCACAGCTTCTCTCAGGTTGCAGCCTGTAACCTCCTGCTCCTGTGACTTCCTTGCTACGGCCTGCACGCGGAAAGCAGCAGTCATTACGCTAACAAGCTTACAAGAATCCACCTTTCTCTCTGCAGATACGCATCTCTGTGTGTATTTGGGGGGGCCAAAAACCCACAAGTCCACTGTCGGCCCCTGACCAAACGGACCGCCCTGCGGGAGAGCCCCTTCCTAATTTTGTTTTTTTTCCAAGCGTGAGCAGCTCTGCTTTACCTCCCGTGCGTGCCACTGACCTCAGTCAGGCTTCTCAGGTGGCTCTCCAGATCTCGGATCTTCTGCTTTTCTTCCTCCACGGATCGCTCGCACTTCTCCTTCTCCTTGGCGACAGCGCTCTCCACAATCTGAGAATCGAGAGCCCGCAGTTTCAGTACCAAAAAACTTTCCTACCGTTAGGCACAAGACCTCGACTCCAATGAGGACCCGGCAACCAGGAGGGTGGTCCCTGCGCTGGAGCAGGGGCACGCTACGGGAGAACACCTCGGCAGGGCAGGAGGCGGCTCGCCGAGGGAGGGGACGAGAGCGCCTGGGGAAAGGTACGGCAGAGAGACCACGGAGGAGCCGCTTAGCTGCTCCTCACCTGCCTCCTGAGAGCCCCCGATGCCAGGAAACAACCCTTCCCACACCCACAGACGCAGAGGCACGCTAGAAACCGTCCGACAAGCCCGCCAGGCTACGCTGTCCCCATCACCACATACAGATACAGCAAAACACCCGTTCACACCTTTACTAACGCTACGGCCCGCACCAGCGCCACCGGCTCGGTGCCCCGGGCTTCCCCGGGACTGAGGGCGACCCGGCGAGAACCCGCCAGGCAGCCGCCCCCCCCCTGCTCCACAGGGATCTACCTTTCCAGCCAAAGCGGCCCTAAAAGGAGTTCAGCGTGGGGCAGGGAGGGCGCAAAAGGCTTGCCAGGAAGCCTACCCGCCCTTGCATTCCATTTACTACAGGCAACGCGACGTCTTCCTAAGCTCGCGGCTCGCGATGATGCTCCTCGCTTTCCGCTTTCTCCCGGGGACGGACCGGCAGCAGCGCCCCCTGCCGTTACCCAGATGCTTTCCAGTTCCACCGTGGATACTTTGGGGACTTACAATCACCCACATCACTATAGGAGCATATCTGATACCCGGGCTCTCGGGACTGCACCTAGACAGTTCGGGGCCAGAGACGACTTCCTCTCGCTAGGCAACACTAATACAGACGACGCCTATTTTTCCTGCATAACAGGCATTTTCCTTAAAAACAACCACGCCACCGTACCTCTCTGTTCTCCTTGTCCTTTTCCCATATAATTTGCTTCATTTTTATCTGTAGGTCTTGCTCGTGTTTCGCTTCCAGCTCCTTCACGTGCTCCTGCAGCAAAGCCGCCTGCGACTCCCGGGCCCTCTCTAATTGGGCCTGTGGGGAAAGAGCAGACACCGAGGCGTTGGAGGAAGCGCATTAGCAGCAGGGCCAACCATAAGCCTCCTGCGTACATCCACTAACAAACATTTCCACAAAGACAGGTACCCCCCCATCCCTGCCGCCCGAGGGAAACAGACACCGACAGGCTGACAGCGGGCTCCGTCTTCTCCTTTCCCCTGCATTTACTGCAGACCCAGAGACCTCTGCTGCCGTGCGTTCCCACTTCGGCTCCCACACCGGCTCGCTTAGGACTACCATCGCGTTTACCGACAGCGGAAACTCTCCAATCCACTCGGTTTCTGCATTTGCACGTTTCCATACCTGTAACGTCCGATTCCTCCGCGCCGTTTCCTGACTGTTTTCCAACAGTCTCCCGAGAGCAGCCCACAACTCTGAAAAAGCCAACGGGGTCTGGCTGGCCGGGGTGCTCACGCAGCCCACGCGCACCACCCGGAGCATCCTCGGAGGCCTGGGGACGCCGCTTGCCTCCTTGCCAAACTCCCTTTGGCCACCGCTGACCTTCAGCCCTCGCTCCCCGCCCCGGCTGGTGGGGTTCCACGTTCCTCCATAGGCAGCAGGGAGGAGAAGGGACCGCCACCAACGTCCCGCACAGTCCCCCCTGCGCTCGTAGGGATACCCAGACAACACACTTGACGTGGCCTTCCCTCCCAGGCTGCGGCACTGTACGTGCTCCTGTCGGCTATCGGGGAGGGAGAGACCCCAACGGCTCTGCCTCGTGCCTGGAGATACTCACTCTGGCTACGGGATTCAGGCTCGGAGATGCCCTCAGATAGGCTCCCAGGGGCCAGTTTTCCCTCCGCACTTACTGGAACCGCAGCACAGTCCCACCCCGGGACATCGCCGCTATTGCTGAGACATCGCTGGAAGGGAGCTTGACTGCGCACGCAGCCCAGCTGCCTGCTCCCACCAGGAGATGACATTTTCCCTGTCACACGCTGTCACCCATTTCGCTGTGTCACCCCGTCTTCTCTAAGCCCGACACTCCTGCAAGAGCCAAGGATGGCTCGTTGCTGCACGATGCTCCTGGTGCTATAATTACCCCTCTGCTAACCACGGCGGCCTCGCAGCTCCTCCCGCACCCTCGCCGGCGCCGCTCCGCTGCCGCCCAGCGGACGGCACGTCCTGCACCCCTGTGCAATGCTCGGTGCTGCCGTGGGAGCGATGCTCCCCCTCCCACGCTGCTGTCAGACCCATTACTCCTCTGCAGCCGCACTCCGCAACACACGATGCTTTGCCACAGACCTACGCTGCCACAGCTGCTGCTTTTGCTCTTCACCTAAACTTGTCGTCGGCAAGCTCCATGCCGCAATTGTTCCGCCGCTCCACGGTGGAGGGGGCCCAGGAAAGGGAAGGCAAAGTACGTCGCAACCGCGAGCCAAGGGGTTCCGATCTCGGCCCGCACCGCGGCCACAGTCGCAGCCAAGGAGCGTTTCCTCTCTGCCACCGAGGCAGAGCCCACTTCGACTGAGTAACCACGATGTCAGTAGATCAAGCCCACCACGCGCAGACATCGCATCCCACTGACGGACCCCCCCAGAGCCCTACGGGCGGGCGCTGGCCACACGGGGCGACCGGTGCCGCAGAGGCAGGGAATAAGGGCGTGCACGCTGCCTGAGCAGCTTCCTTAGTTGGCCACACTGCCCGAGATTTGCACCTACGTGGCAGGGGCCTGGCATCCCCAAGCGGTGGCTCACGCTGGCCTTTCTCCTCTACAGCCAGCTAGCTAGGACATCCCCCCCAGCGCAGGTTTGTTTCCCCGGGGGCACCCAACGAGACACGGACCTTCGCCGGAGGCGCGCGGGTCCATCCCCGCGCTGGCCAGGAGCCGCTCCGCGCCCTCCAGCCAGGACAGGGCGGCACGTGCCACTTCCACCACCGCCGCCCCGACGGCCGAGACGGAGGGGTCCAGGCGCACCGCCTCCAGCCTGCCCAGCTCCCCTCGCAGGCTGTCGCTGCTGCAGGAGCTCCTCAGGCAAGCCTGGAAAAAACACAACCGGTGACCAAGCTAGCCTCCAGAGTCAGCGGGCTTCTGGGACTTGGCAAATCACAAATCACTCTCTGAAAAAGTCCTGGGGACGACCACGCGAACCCTTTGGGATGCCACTTCATGGGGCGCTACCTTTGGAGGGGAGGACACGCTTCTGTGACACCTCCTATTTCTTTCCAACCAACGCTTCTTGGGGCTACACTCACCTCTTGCTTGTCTGGAGAGCTGCGTGCTGGCTAGCACCGACGCACAAGCGTCCCTTTTCTCTGACCTGTCCTCGGGCCAAAAAATTGCCCTGTGCCACTTACCTCCTGGCTGCCAGGAGGTCATCAGCATTTAAAGGACTGACCTGGAGCTCCCGCAGGGATTTCTTGAACACCTCAACATTTGCAGACACCTCCTTTTCCTTCGAGAGTCTGGAGCTTAATTCCTCCTGCAGACGCTTCTCTCTCTCGTGCCTCTGTTGGTTCTCGTCGGAGATCTGCCTGACCTTCTCTATCACCTGGCAAAAGCATGCAGAGGAAGAGGAGAAGGTGCCATTGTATTAATACCCTTTCTCAGCTGAGGGACTGTAGCTTGTCTCAGCGAGCAAAGATCGACACTTGCTGCCAACTGGTAGCCATGTCACAACTCGGGAGCTTCTCCCTGTTGCAGCCCACTGACTCCATCCAAGCTTTGGGGGACAGAAAGGATCGGGTCTCCTTCGCACCACGGAGCGGTGTCATTAACTTGGGATAGCCGTGGCGCGACTTACCATCTGGAGAAGCTTGGATGCTACCGGCACTACTGCACACGGAGCAGGCACCGCGGCCGTCCCGCCGCGGCCGCCTCGAGCCACGCCGGGCTTTGGAGGCACCGAGCGTCTCCGTGCGCTGCTGTCCAAACTCACCTGCTGCTCCGTTACGGCTTTCCCCGCGATGCCTGCTGCTGCTGGAGAACAGACTCGCATCACTTGGGTTTTGAGGGACTCCAGCTACGGCAGAGATCGACACAGGACAACAAAACTCACAGAGATTCGAGATCAGCTCTGCCGGTCTGCTCTACCCAGCCCCGCACATGTCATCGCAAAGGGTGTCCTGGCCCCCGCCGTCTCCGATCCCGAGGCCCCATGCATGCTCCCGCACCTCTTTTCACCGTGCACCTTCGTAAGGCTTCCCTGACACCCCTCCTCTGACCCCGCCGGCAGCGCGGGGCTGTGGTTAATCGCACCCGTTACTTCGCCTACAAGGCGCACGGCGCCGGTACCACGCACAGGGGAGGCCGTTGGCTCCCCGCCACCCAGCGCAACGTGACTTCTGAACATCTCCTGCTGCCCTCCCACTGCTGCGGGAGGAGTACGACGACAGAGGGCTGGTAGGCGTTGCAAAGTACACACCGCCTGAGCCAGGCGGTTGCTCCATCCCACGCTCCAGCAGGGATTTTCGATGGCTGGCTCCTATTTCCTCCTGTGAAACAGTCGGGCCAGGCTGGGGACAGCTGGGGATGCCACCCCCAGCCTCTCTGCAGGAGATGACAACCGTCCCCACCCCGGTTAGCGCTTCAGGCTTCCGTAGCGCAGCTGGGGCTGGCTCCTCCCGGGCCTTCCGCGAGCGGCCGTCCCCACGCTAACCTACACGGCAGAGCCAAAAGGCTCCATCCGCCCTTCAGAGCTCGAGGCTGCCCTGGGGCTCCGCTCTGCCCAAAACCCGGGGTTATTCTCCAAACACGTGACCAAACAACTCACAGCTTTTCCTGCCTCTCATTGACTGGGGCTCCCAACACATTCACGCTAGCAAACCTCTGCACAGCAGTTTAACAAGGGGGGGGCGGGGGGCGACGGGCGACCCTCTCGTGCAAAGCACGGCTTCAGCCTGCTGATCTAGCACGATGTTATTCCGCAAAGGGCTGTCTCGGCCCGGAGCAGCATCGCCTAGGCACCGAGGAGGGTTTGCGTGGGTCCCGGACAGCATAACTACGATTATAGACAGTACAGTGCGTTTCTGTATCCTATTACACTCGCTGCATCTTCTACGAAGCCCACGCAAATCCTGTGGATAAGCCTGTTATACTGCACCTGACGACAAGTTAAGCCCCGTGCCAGGGTTTGGTGCTCAGGACTCTGCGTTTCCTTCCCTGCGCTCAAGCACGATGGCCTTCCCCGTAGGAAAACCCGTCCTCCGGCCGCCCACAGCCCCGGCTGCAGCACGCTCCCATCCCTGCCTCCTCCCTACCTGCTCCTTGGCCCGCCCCACCTCGGCTCTCCGCAGGCGCTCCCTGCGCCCCATCTCCTGCAGCTGCAGAGCTTGCCTGGCACAGGCTTCCTTCAGCTCCTCCTCAGCCTGCAACGACAAGCACATTTGCATATCAAAGCCATACCAGAACATCACGCCATAAGCACTTTTACCCCAACTCTCCACTCGGACACTTCTGGCTGCTTTTTGCCCGGGTTTGGTCCCCGGGCCATCATCACCCGTCCTTGACTTTCCAACCCACCGCTCGCATAGGGCAGCCTCTGCTGCCCAATCTGCCTGCTTCCCTCGGGGTCCGTGGAAGCGCTCAGCACATTCGGCCCCTCTGCCTGGACAGCCTGCGTGCCTGGGGCTCGCTGGCCCGCGTCCCACGGGTGGTACGTGCCCGTCCCTCCCTGCCCTCCGCCGCATACCCCGCAGCCGGACGGCTACCTTGGCTTTCTCGGCCAGCTGGTTTCGGATGCTCTCCTGCTCGGCGCGAGACTTCTGGGCTTCCCCCCGCAGCCCCTCCAGGTCACGTTCCAGCTCCCCGATGCGCTGCAAGAGCCCCCAGACAGCACAGGGTCTCACCGGAGGAGCTGGGCATTGCCTCTCGGGAGCGCTTAAACCCCTACACAAGACATTTTCCCCATCTCTCCCGTTTCCTTTTCCCTGCATTTTTTCTTCTAACCTACATCCTTACTGCACTTAGATTGGCTTTCCAGTGCCATGTCAGTCTGATTACTGACACCGTTCTCCTGCACGGTCACGCGGCGTTACCGTTTTTACAGGAGTTTACGTTTCTCTGGTTCGCTGTGCACATTAGGTGCCTTCTATTCCAGGAGCCGGATTCAAAACCCCTCCCTTAAAATGCCCACTTAATTATTCTCTCGATGCT